TTTCTACTTCTTCCAGTTCTAGGGTTAATGTTTTGTTTATGGCCCTTTCTTCTTTTTGGATGTGTGCATTTAGTGCTATAAACTGGGCATTGCTTTTGCTGTGTCCCAAACGTTCTGGCAGGATGTGTTTTCATTCTCGTTTGATTCTATGAATTTTTTATTCCATCCTTAATTTCCTCTATAACCCAGTAGTTTTTGAGCAAGGTGTTGTTCAGCTTCTGTGTGTTTGATTTGTTTTTTTTCCTTGCTTTTTCTGTTGTTGATTTCTACTTTTATAGCTTTATGGTCAGAAAAGATGCTTTGGATTTTGTTAAAGCTTGCTTTATGGCCTAATATGTGGTCTATTCTGGAGAATGTTCCATGTGGGCTGGAAAAGAAAGCATATGTGGCTGCTCTTGGGTGGAATGTATGGTATATGTCTATGAGATCAAGTTGGTTGATCATTTACCTCTTCCATGTCTTTGCTGTGCTTCTTTCTGGATCTTCTGTCCTTCACCAAAAGTGGCGTGTTGAAATCTCCTACTACTATTGTGGAGCTGTCTCTCTTTTCAGTGCTGCTAGAGTTTGTTTTATGTATTTTGGAGCCCTGTTGTTGGGTGTGTAAATATTTATTATAGTTATGTCCTCCTGCTGTATTGACCTTTTAATCATTATATAGTGTCCTTCCTTATCCTTTGTGGTGAATTTTACTTTAAAGTGTATTTTGTCAATGATTAATATTACCACTCCTGCTCTTTTTTGAGTGTTGTTTGCTTGATATATTTTTTTCCATCCTTTGGGTTTAGTTTGTTTTTGTCTTTAAGTCTAAAGTGTGTCTTTTGTAGGCAGCATATAGATGGATCGTGTTTTTTTATCCAATCTGCCACTGTCTGTCTCTTTATTGGTGCATTTAGTCCATTTACTTTCATTGTAATTATTGACAGGTATGAGTTTAGTGCTGTAATTTTGATGTCTTTTTTTGTGTGTTGTTCACAGTTTCTTTGTTCCACTTAATTTTCTGTGCTGAGTTGTTTTTCTTCATGTATTTTCTTTTCATCTTTTTCATTGTTGTAGATTTTGTGTTTGCTGAGTCTTTATATTTTTCTAGTTTTTTATTTTGACTCATAGGATTGTTAGTTTCCTTTGTGGTTACCTTAATATTTACCTATTTTTCTAAGTTTATACCAGTCTTTTATTTCTTTGTATCACCTTGACTTCCTCTCCATATGAAAAATCTACATCTACATTGTTTAAGTCCCTCTTTTTTGTTTTAATGTTGTCATCTTTTACATATTGACATGTGTTTCCCTATTTTCAGTGTTTTAGCTTTGATTTACTTTTGTGACTTCCCTATCTGGGTTGATATCTGGTTTCTCTGTCCTGTGTTCTAGTCTTGAGTTGTTATCTGATGTTATTCATTTTCTAACCAGAAGACTCCCTTCAGTATTTCTTGTAATTTTGGTTTGATTTTTGCAAAGTCCCTAAACTTCTGTTTATCTGGAAATGCCCTAATTTTGCCATCATATTTGAGAGAGAGTTTTGCTAGATATATCATTCTTGGCTGGCAGTTTTTTTCCTTCAAGACTTTATATATGCCATCCCATTGCCTTTTTGCCTGAAAGGTTTCTGCTGAGTAGTCTGAGCTTAGTCTTATTGACTCTCCTTTGTAGATGACTTTTCGTTTATCCCTAGCTGCTCTTAAAATTCTCTCTCTATCTTTGGTTTTGGCAAGTGTGATTATAATATGTCTTGGTGACTTTCTTTTGGGATCTACCTTATGTGGGGTTCAATGAGCATCTTGGATAGATATCTCTTCATCTTTCACGATATCAGGGAAGTTTTCTGCCAACAAATCTTCAACAATTCTCTCTGTATTTTCTGTCATCCCTACCTGTTCTGGTACTCCAATCACTTGTAGCTTATTACTCTTGATAGAGTCCCACATAATTCTTAGGGTTTCTTCATTTTTTGAAATCCTTTTATCTGATTTTTCCTCAGATAAGTTGGTGTCAAGTGCTTTATCTTCAATCTCACTAATTCTGACTTCCATAGCCTCAATTCTGCTCCTATGACTTTCTATTGAGTTGTCTAATTCTGACATTTTATTGTTAATCTTCTGGATTTCTGATTGCTGTCTCTCTGTGGATTCTTGCAGCCTGTTAAATCTGTCATTATGCTCTTCTCTAATCTTTTTAACTTCCTCTATTGCGTGTTCTGCATTTTGCTTAATTTCCTTCCTAATTTCTTGACGAGTTCTGTATATTAATCTTTTGTATTCTGCCTCCGGTAATTCCAAGAAATTTTCCTCCCCTGGAAAATTTCTAGATTCTTTATTTTGGGAGCTTTCTGAAGCCATCATGGATTGCTTCTTTATGTGATTTGATATTGACTGTTGTCTCTGAGCCATCAACAAGTTATTGTATTCATTTATATTTCCTTACTGTGTCCTAGCTTCTTGTTTTGTTTTGATATGCCCAAATAGGCTCCTCGTATGAGCTAGTTTTATTGGCACCTTTGAATCTCTAATGTCCTGTCACCAGGTGGTTATATCTGTTACTAGGTATGTGAGCTCAGGAGTCCCCCCACTCCACCTGTGTGGATTCAGTTCAGCTGTCCAGGTAGATAGTCACCAAGAGTGTGGTGTAGGCTCTCACAGTCCTTGACAGGCATGGGTGACTGGTGTAGGCATAGGCATCTGGCTGCAGCAGGGGGACACACTCTGAGCAAGGCAGGGGGCTGACGGCCACCCCTGAGTGTCTAGGATGAAGGCATGTCCCTGTTCCCTAGAGTGTGTAGGTGGGTGGGTTTTGCAGCTGGACTATGAGCATCTAATGCTGTTGGCTATAAGGACTGGGGGGCACCTCTTATTCATAGGCCCCTATCGCAGGTGGCTAGGTGGCATGGGTGGAGCCACCAGTCCTCAGGCCCCTAATGTGGGTAGGTGAAGACCCTGCTTAATGGGCAGTGTAGTGTCAAATGTCAAGAACCTGCCACTTCACAGCTGAAACAGATGCAGTTAGACTTCCAGTATATACCCTGTTGTACTGTGGTAATGAGGGCCTATGCTGTTAAGATGGGCCCACACAAGTCCATGTTGGGGGGAAAGGTACTCAAAGTCCATGGATCCCTTATGCCTGTGCCTAGGCAAAGGAGCTGTGCCTACCCTGGGTTCCTGGCTTAGGGGAGCTGGCAGTTTATTTTTTCCCATTTGTTAATTTGTTCACTCTCCAAGGCAGGGAGAATGGCTCCAGGTGTGTGACGGATCCTACTTCCGGCCTAGGGGACTCCGCAATTACTTAAGCTGGTCTGAGACCCAGTGCAGAGCAGGGAGCAGGGAGGTAGATGGGAGAGAGGTTTTTCCCTAAGGGGCGTGTTTTTGATCTGCGTGGTAGGCCGTATGCAATTACTTATCTTTCGCCGGATCGAGGATTGCTTCTCACTGGTTCTGGGTGGTCATGTAGACTCTCAGTGGCTAGGTCTCTCCTGGTGCAGAAAATGTGCCTCCCGAGGATGGCTGCTTGCCTGCCTCACCACTCACCCCCAAGGTGATCAGGCCTGAAGGGCTCAAGCTCTCGCTGGGTCAGGTCTGGCAACTCCTCGCTGCTTCCGAACCGTCTCTCCCTCCCCTTGCCACTCAGTCCAGTTCCTCAACTCTGCCTTTGAAGTTCAGGGCCCCTAGATTGCCATATATAATCGAATCACTTGTTTTTTCAGGTCTTTGTTGTAAGAGGGTCCACCAAAAGCATCTGACTACTCCGCCATCTTGGCTCTGCCTCCCAAATGTATTTTGATTTGCTAAACTTCTTTAGAGTGAACTTAAAACACCAGAAATAGAACCCTGAAAAAGTTGGTTTTTATGATAATGTAATTATTTTTAATTATGACATATTTTAGGAGATAAAAGTTTCCAATCTCTTGACAATTTTTTTGAAAATATATCTATCACTATTCTTCATAAATATCATTTGTAATAATAAATTACATTTGTATATTCTTTGCCACTTTCAAGATGCTCCCAATCATATTTGGTTTCCATATCATTGTGTGGGATATAGCTTTTGTGTGTGTGTATTGATCATTGGGCATTTGTATCACTTGCTCTAAGACTTTCCCTTTAAAGAAAATGGAGCCTGTGATTACACACATACTTAGAAATAGATCTGGCATAGAAAACACATTTCTGGACTCTCATGCTGGCCTCCTCTGCATTCTTAGTAGCCTGTTCCCAACTTACTGACAAGAAAACTGAGACTAAGGAAGGTAGATTTTTATGCTAATAGTGACTCACACCTCCTGGTATCCACACTCTTGTGAAGTCTTCTCCCACATTAATGTTGGGTCTGAATCTTGGACTGAATTTTGTCCCCAAAAATATATGTCAACTTGGTTAGGCCATGATTCTCAGTATTGTCTGGTTGTCCTCCATTTTGTGATTGTAATTTTATGTTAAAGAAGATTAGGGCGGGATTGTACACCCTTACTAAGGTTACACCCCTGATCCAACGTAAAGGGAGTTTCCCTGGGGTGTGGTCTACGCCACCTTTTATCTTACAAGAGATAAAAAGAAAGGGAAGCCAGCAGAGAAGGAGGGACCTCATACCATGAAGAAATAAGCACTGGGAGCAGAGTGTGTCCTTTGAACCCGGGGTTCCTGCGTGGAGAAGCTCCTAGTCCAGGGGAAGAATGATGAGAAGCATCTTCCTCCAGAGCTGACAGAGAAAAAGAAAGCCTTTCCCTGGAGCTGACACCTTGAATTCGGACTTCTAGCCTACTAGATTGTGAGAAAATAAATTTCTCTTTGTTAAAACCATCCACTTATGGTATTTCTGTTATAGCAGCACTAGATGGCTAAGACAGTCTGGATAACCATATGCACACTAGGACTCAGCATGCTACCTACCACTCCCTTGTGAGGAAGCTCAGCCTAGAATAACTTCCTTGAGGATGAAAGACCACATGAAGAAAGAGAGGTCAAGAACATTCCAGCTCGCCAAACTGAGGCCAACTTCCAGGTGACTTACCAACTGAATGTAGTCTCATGAATGAGTTTAGGTGAAATCAGAACCATCCAACCAACCTAGAGAATAACATGAAATTAAAAATTCTTTTTGTTTTAAACTACTAAGTTTTGCAATAGTTTGTTATACAGCAATAACTGAGATACTAAGGAAAAAGAAATTTGTCCATGGCAGTCATTCATAAGCTCAGGAGTGGACCTCAGGTCTGTGAAGTCCACCACCTCACACAGAAATGGAGAATGTCTTGGTGAGCTATCCTTGACTTGGAAACCTGAGATAAAGTTCTAGATTCATTCAAAATCACTGTGGTTAGCTCATCCAGCTGCTTAAGCATACTCATTTTATGTAGCATATTCCTCCCATCAGGGCCACTGGATATGGTTGGCTTTGCATGCTTGAGGATAGAGGTGGGAGGTAGAACCAACCACCAATCTATAGGTCAACATTAGAGTTAGAAGGCTGCTGAGAGATTATGGTACAGAAGTGGTGACAGGATGACCAGAGAGATGAAGGCACTTGCCTAGATCACACAGTTGTTAGTACAAGGGCTGGGATGAGAACCCAGGCCTTCTTACTCCAATGCTGGTATCCTTTGGGTGATATATCCTGCCTCCTTAGCAAGAGGAAGAAGATCCAATCCTGTGACTTAGAGATAATGAGTACATGTTAGTTCTAGGTTTGACACTGCTAGTTGGGATTATTGAGTGTTCTATCTTCAAAGTGACTTTTCGGTGACCAGCAGAACCATAAGAGGTGTTTCCCAGAGAGACAATCAGCAAGACTGAGAATGAATCAATTTATTCATTCATTATTGATACAGGATCTGAGATGGCTGGGCCATGGATTATAGATGATCTCATTTGGCTAGATAGATAAAACTACAGTTATTTCTAGGACATTACTGTAGAATCTCTACCTTTTACTGTTTGTTTGTTTGCTAGAAAAGCCTTCAAATTCACATATACTGTTTTATAGTATAAATAACTTGCAGAAGAAATCTGTTGGCTTGTGTATGAGGGCCACCAGGGACACAAGGAACAAAGTGTTACATTTACATTTGTCCAATAAGGAGAACTGGGTCAGCGACTATCACTAAGATCTCCCATGAACTGGTTAGCAGACAATAAAAAGTCGTTGTTGCTGTTATTGTTGTTAGGTACTTTCAAGCCATTCTGACTCACAGCGACACTGTGTACAACAGAACAAAATACTGCCCAGTCCTGTACCATCCTCACAATCGCTGCTGTGTTTAAGCCCATTGTTACAGCCACTGTGTCAATCTATCTCTTTGAACGTCTTCCTCTTTTTCGCTGACCCTCTACTTTAGCAAGCATGATGTCCTTCTCCAGGGACTGGTCTCTCCTGATAACATATCCAAAGTAAGTGAGATGAAGTCTCGCCATCCTTGCTTCTAATGAGCATTCTGGCTGTAAAAAGTGGTTTGGGAATGTAATTTGCAAATGGATGGTGCTAAAGGAGAACACATTCCATTTTGGAGGGAAAAGAAAAAGAAAAAGAAAAACATAAGCTAGGAACAAATTTTAATCATCATAAATCATGCTTCAGTTTATTTAACTGTAATAATACTATTCCTTGGCTCATTATGAGGTTTCATACCACCTTGAAAACACTGATCATGCCTGCATGACATACAGCATGGATTGTTGGGTCTGACACATAAACTGATTATATCCGATTTTAGTTCTGCCTTCAGCCTGTTAGGAAGGCAGATAGATAAGGCATTCAACATGAAGCCTGGAATCCCCTCACTCTGCTCTGTTGCTGAGCCAGCCTGAAGGCTGTTGGAAAGAGAAACAGTTGAGACCACAAGATGGGGAAAAGTTGGAGTAATTTCCAGGAGTAGTGGCACAATAGTTACGTACTTGGCTGCTAATCGAAAGGTTGGAGTTCAAACCAACCCAGCAGCTTTGTGGGAGAAAGACCTGGCAATCTGCTTCTGTAAAGATTTCAGTCTAGGAGACTCTATAGGGCAGTTCGACTCTGTCACATTGGGTTGCTATGAGTTGGAACTGACTTGAAGGCTCCTAACAACAACAACATGCCTCTAAGAGCTAGATAGTTTGAAGCTAAAAGAAGAATATAAAAATGATTAGTAAGTCAGGGGAATCTATCAGAATGTAATAATGGTTAATAGTTATCAAATGCATATGCAAGACACCAGTCACTTTCCATACATTATCTCATTTAATTTTCCCAGCAAGCCTATGAGGTATTTTTATTATCCACATTTTATAGATGAGGAAGTTGGGGCCAGAGAAGTTAAGAAACTTGCCCAAGGTTATATAGTAGCAGAGCTGGAATTGGAGCCAAGCTTTCACCTGAGGCTGTACTGTATGTCACTAAACTGAACTGTAGGGGTAAGCCCAGCAGTCAGAAGCTCAAGGTTATAAATTCAGTGTGGCAACCAGGCTGTATGAGCTTGGCAATATTGCTTCATCTCTCTGGGGCTCAAGTTTCTCATCTATAAAACCAAGGAACTGGACTAGGCTCTGAGATCTTCTCTAAAGTGCCTTTCTAGGTGTAATGGTCAGTGCTTCAGTGTTCTGTGTTCTAATTTCTGTGCTTCTCTATGAGACAGATCAGCATGGCAGGATGTATTCTGTACACTCAAGATCAACAGTTCGGACTCCGGCAAGATGGCGGTCTAGGCAGAAGCACCACGCCATCCCTCCACAACAAAGATCCGAAAAACTAAGCCAAACAGAGAATCAACAATCCTGAAACCCTAGAACATCAAATGAAGAGATAAAGAACTCAGCCG